ATTGAAAGTGTAATATTGTAAAAAATATTTTTTTTTATGGCATGAAAATCAATTTGCCTACAAATCTATACTCGGGTGTATGTAATCCTTACCAGTACGTCAATCTTCCATGGGCCAAAGTAAGCTGTGGGAATTTTTTGTTGATTTAACCATCTAGCTGAGAGAGTATTGTCTCCATCTACAACACACAATGAGTTCCAATCCATGGTGGGTGGGGTTCCAAAGAGTACAATTTTTTTTTTTTTGGGGGTCAATAATGAAAACTTCATTCAAACTCAAAGGAACAACAACATCTGTGGAAATGAACAACATAAACTAGAACAATTGAAAAAAAAAACAACTAAATCTCAAGCGATCACAATTTAACTAATTCTTAATCTCTCATAATCTATTATTTGAAGAAGGTCTAAAGCAAGAGAAGCCTTCATAACATCCACTTTAAATATGAGACAAAGGAAGTAATGGTGTCTCCATCCACCTTATCCAATACACATCCTTATGAGCATCAGCTGCCTTATTACTTTTATGATAAGTGAAAGAAATAGAAAACCCAATATTGAAAGTCATAAAGTTCAAACTATCAAAAACCAAACCTCTGCAAAGCCATTCACATAACTCAAGCTTGTGATCCATCAAACAATTCGCTAAAGTCTAACAATCACTTTCAAACACTACTTTATCATGTTCCAAATCAATAGCTAGCTTTATAACTTTTTCAAGGCTAGAGCTTTAGTCATAAATGTCGAGGTAGATTTACTTTTTTCATAGAAGCCCAAATAAGACTGCCATGCTCATCCCTGCAGTGTATTCCAATGGCAGCAGCATTATCAGTGAGATTGAAAGCCCTGTTACAGTATTTAAATCTTCAACTTTATTAAATATATAAAGTCCTTTTATTCTATTCAACTAACATTGGTATTATTCCTTCTTTTACCTTTGCCATTGGTATTATTCACTTTAATCTATAAAAATATGGAAATGTGAATTTCATGTCAAATTACAATTAAGAAAAATAGTCAACTCTCATGATATTGTCTTTATGAGGAAATATGTTTTATTATATTATCAACCTATTTTGTCATGTAATTAACATGATTTGAAAGTCATTATGGGTAATTTTTTAAAAATAAGTATGATATAATAATAATTTTTTCCGAGAAATATAATATAAATAACAATATTCATTAACGTTACTTTTTTTGGTCAAATAATAATATTGTTTTTTTTAGTATCAAATAATAATATCGTTATTAGTGCTTAAAAGTTTCTGGATCCGAAGAAGCCCATGTTTCGGCCCAGAAGCTTACCGATTTCGGTACCCGATTCGTTTAAGAGTAGGTTTAATAAGATATCCCCTGCATTAGGGTTGAGACTCTGGCCATCCTACGAATCCAAGCACGGAGGGGAGCCGCAGCTCAGGCTTTTTCAGCATTGATCTCTGAGAGCAGCACACCACAACAATGGTTAGTGCTTATTAATCTCTCGTCTTCAACCTGTTTGCTTTATCTTCTTTTTTTCTACTTTCATTTTTCCCTTCACTTTCGTTGTTACTTGTTTCTGAATGATGTTCATTGCACTATGCATTTGTTTCGGCTTTCTTCAATTTGTGTGCATTTTCCTATCTTTTCTAGTGCATTGATTTTTACTGCCTGCATTTATAGTGTTGCTTGTGCTGAGGTTTTTTAATTAGGTTTGATATCCTATTTGCTAGTGCATACTGGTGTTTATTTGAAGGGAATTGGCTGTGGATTGGATAATGACGAAGCCTGGCTTTCATGTTTAACCAATTATTGTTTTTTTTTTGCCCCCGGCGATAAGTACGCCATTTACGTTATCTGCAGGCGATTTATCTGGTCGAAAGGCGTTTCCTTTTCTCGTTTTATATTATGATTAGAATGTATGTGTTTTCTTTAGGTTGGCCATTTTTTGTGGTGAATGTTTGTGTTTATACTTTTCTCCTTACTTTACATTCTCGGTACAATCTGTCAACGTTCAATGTAAAATTTCATAAAGATATCTGTTCCATGTGTGGGTCGTGGATGATTGTTAATCTCAAAACCATGAATACTACCGTTCAGACCTGCAAATATTGAAGATAATGGTTGGCGTTCACTATAATTTTTTCTGTTTTCTTTTGTGACATGAAAATTTAATTTTTTTTTCTTCCAGAGAGTTTTTAAAACGCCTGCTTAATTTCTGTCTTGAAAACCCGCCCGTGTCCCTGCCCTTGATGTTGTTGATGAATTCTGAAATCTATTTCTTTATTTGCTTGTTCTATTCACTACGATTAATTGCATTGATTCCATATAGTTGGTATCAGATGCGAGGGATATCATTATCTGTCCCTCATGTTCTAATTTGTATATTTTGTTGATTATTTCAGGCCAGAGGTTTGAAGAAACACTTGAAGAGGCTCAATGCCCCAAAACATTGGATGCTTGACAAACTAGGCGGTGCCTTTGTAAGCACATGATCACTAGTTCTTGTTTTAGCTATACTGTTTGACATGTTTTCATTTGTGACATCCTGATTGACATCATGGTCGTGCAGGCACCAAAGCCATCTTCGGGACCCCACAAGTCAAGGGAATGCCTGCCGCTTATCCTTATCCTGCGCAATAGGTTGAAGTATGCTCTCACCTATAGAGAAGTTATTGCCATCTTAATGCAGCGCCATGTTCTGGTTGATGGCAAGGTTAGGACAGACAAGACATATCCAGTTGGTTTCATGGGTATGTGCCTTCAAACTTGTCAGCCAACGCAGCATTTTTATATTTTCATGTTGAAATTGTATTAGTGAGTGTTTGATAATGTTGACCTTTTTACAATTCTTTCAGTTGCTGCTGTAGTATTTTTTTTCTAGTAACATTTTATAAATTTCTCATTTCTCTATTGAATATATTGCACTTGTCTCTGTAGTCTGTACTTCATGTTCTTATCATTGCTTCTGTGTGTTGCACTGGTTTTAATGAATTAATGGCTTTGAAATTATTTCATTTTTAACAGTGATTCAATTATACTTAACTTTTTACTGTTACCAGATGTTGTCTCCATTCCAAAGACCAATGAAAACTTCCGTCTTCTTTATGATACAAAAGGCCGTTTCCGTCTCCAATCTATTAGGGATGAAGAAGCAAAGGTTTGTTTTGATAATTCCCTGTATTGTCAAGTAAATAATAAGAAATTGTGCCTTTGTTTTGCTTCATGGATGATTCATTTGTGTTATAGCCACTAATTGAAATTACTGATGCTTTGGGCTTTATCGAATAAGGCATCTATTTAGTGGTAGATAAATTTTGAACTTCTTATCTGGCTTGTTTGTACATTTGTTCTGGACATATCTTCGTCAACATTCTTAAATCAATGGGTATTACTAGCAGGAACTGATTGCTTTTACTCATAATCTCCAGCAGGGTCTCTTCCCCCTTTAATTGTTAAACTTTATTTTTTGTTTCACGTGGATCTTTCCAGTTTAGTTTTGTAGATTTTTGCCCCCTGAAGCAATCTGATAATCTGGGATTTTGCTTAATGCAGTTCAAGCTTTGCAAGGTTAGATCTGTACAATTTGGGCAGAAGGGCATCCCCTATCTTAACACCTATGACGGGCGCACCATCCGCTATCCCGATCCGTTGATCAGGGCAAATGACACCATCAAACTGGACTTGGAAACTAACAAGATCACTGACTTCATCAAGTTTGATGTGGGTAACGTGGTCATGGTGACTGGAGGAAGGAACAGAGGTCGTGTTGGTGTGATCAAGAACAGGGAGAAGCATAAGGGAAGCTTTGAGACCATCCACGTCCAGGATGCAACTGGTCATGAGTTCGCTACTCGTATGGGAAATGTCTTCACAATTGGCAAAGGTACAAAACCTTGGGTTTCTCTTCCCAAAGGCCGTGGTATCAAGTTATCTATCATTGAGGAGGCTAGAAAGAGGCTGGCTGCTCAAAATGAAGCAACTGCATAATTTGATTACACCATCTTGCTGGACAATTTAGCTGTTAGATTGTCTTTATGGACAGCTCTGCTGCTGCGTTTAAGAATAGTTTATGTTATAAAGTCAACAGAACAATTTTGAATCAGCTTTTATGTGACCTTATGAGTGACATGTTCTTGATTTAAGCTGTGTTTTAGATTGCATTACAAGGCCCTGGTTGTACGGATGCGTATGTGAACTTTTTTGTCATGGCGAGAAGCCTAGATTTTTATCCGAATGATTTATTTGATAGCTTTGCTTATTGTGGAGTAACGTGTGCGGTTTGGAATACGCATATTTGCTCTCGAATTCTGGGCTCTCCCTTTCAAATTAGCCGTGATTAACTTCAGTTGTGTCCTGTTGAAAAAAATATAATTTTTGGTCCAAGATACTGAAATTAAACCAAAGATGTTATTTATTTAATTTGAGCAAATCCCCAAGAAACTTGATTTTCATGATTATTACTATTACTATGCATTTTGTTGCGCATTAGCCTAAGAAAGCTGTTTGACATGCTCTCGTGGGATTGATATTTTGTAGGGTCAAACTTTTGGGCGTCAAAATCCTTGTGACTCTTTAAAATGAAACCATATAGCATGTTCAGAACTTTTGATTTTAATATTAACATGATTAACTCTTTTAAGATAAATTCATGCATTAGCGGACTTAGCAGGAGACAACTGAATTTTCAGCAGTTTTGGAGCAATGCATGTGCCAAGCGAGGCCTGTGTGGAGCCAATGGTTGGTTAAATGTCAAGGCAGTTGAGAGCATCCCCAGCAATAGTTCACTCCATAATTTTTAAAATTGCATTGACCAAACTAGTATGCTATTATAAAGTTATAATCACTTCTCTAGTCCTATCAAAGAGCACTAAACAAGCATCTTGGGCTTTAATTTCACGTTTGTGAATACTATTTATATAGTTATATGGTTCCTTGGATGCCATTCTAATAAGCCCTAATTATTACTCTGCACGAGACTGGAGAGAGTAAGATACAAACACAAAGGCACTAAAAGAAAAACCAACCAACCGCTTGACCAGGGCCCCATCTCCACTCTATTGAAGTATAATGAAGTTTAGAATATTTGGTGAGTGGGATAAGTGGGAAAAGCAAAATCCAAATGAATTCCCCTACTCACTTTTTATTCCACTGTAATTCTGTTATTCTCTCCTCAACTCATTAAAATCCTACCACTACCTAACGAGTTGGTTTGACCTTGGAGTGCTTCTCCTTACCAAATCTGTTTCTAAGTATTACCCTAGCTTGGCAGTTCAGAATTTCACTCTTTAGGTTCCACATTTCAGTAGATTAAGCAGCATAGATGATAAGATAAAATATGGCGTGTTCACGCCTAACCTTTTTGTTTTTCATAGTTCAGTGTACATGGGTCAACTGGGTATTTGGGTTAGGATTTAAAAGAAAATTATGTCGATATTTTTGTGCAGAATCTTTTGGGGAGGAGCCAATTTTCCTGTCATTACATAAATGGGTAAACCATACAGACTGTCTTCTTCTTTGTTGCTTTCTGCTATGGCCGGACATGTCTTGATGTTGCTTGCAGGGCCATTTAAAATAATTTTCAGATAGCAAGATGGAAATATAAAATGGGGCTGCGACTAAGAGAAGAGCTATCTGAGCTGAAGATGGCCAAGTTAAAGGGATGGAAGTACTTCAGGCGCTTGTCTGTCTGCTCAACAAAAAGTATGCTTCTCAAAGTCACTTCACACTTCGGATTCAAACCCAAGGGTAATTAACTGACTGCTTGCCTTGAAACTTTGTTTGAAGTGTTCAACACAGGGCTAGATCATCTTAATATAGGTCCAACACAGAGAGTTTATTTATAGCAGTATTCTTTTTTTGTCCTTTTGCTCATGATATTCGTGTTTGATGCATGCTTATTCATTATTGATTTATAGGAAGCAAATGAGTTGAATTGGTTGCTGTAGTACTGACACTGATCTTCTGTTTGTTATGCTGTTGAGTCGACTGCAGGGTTCAGGAATGAGCTTCTTGATCTTTACAAGGACATGGAATCTTGTGGGGAATATGAAGATATAAAAGTGATGTGGAGAATGATTCAATCTTCTTCTCCTCAGTACGCCCACATCACAAGGAAGAATGATAGGTCTCCTTCATATTGGCTCCTATGTTTTACGCCAACTTGAATTGTTTGGCTCATAGTAAACAAGCCATCCCAGATTCTCTGCGTGAATCAAGTGTTGGTTCTCTGTAGAATATGGCGGTGGTTCAGAGCGTGTTTGGCAGGAAGGAATATGGAAATAGTGGAAAAGGGAAAGAAAAAAAATGGAATTGGCAATTTTCGAGTTGGTAACGTCATCAGTTTTGTTGCAATGGGTAACTTTAGGAACAGATAGTGAAATATCAGGATCGTGAAACCTATATTTGTGTTTTTCCGAATGTTAAGTCTGGCATAAATTACTTACTGTGCCACTTCCACCAGGCACCTTCACTCGCTTTGCAATCTTCATTTCCCTATATTTCAGAAATTTGTCGCCTTTGCTTTTTGGTACACACAAACAGGTTTTAGGTTGACAAGTGCATGTAGGATTGAAAACTTGACAAGGTTAGTTTCGTCATAGAAAGTTTTCCTTGAACATACAAATTCATACATGGGGTGGCCCATTTTTAATTAGCATATTAAGTGTTTTATAACATTCAAGATTTCCAAAGAGATTAATTAACAAAGTACTAAGCAGCTCCTCCTTTCTTCTGTAGTATAGAGAATGAAGTTTGAAAAATGCCTTAAACAACATGAACGGGTAAAGTTGAAAGGGTAAACTGAACAAGCAACATGCGAGGTCTTTTATTTCCAACATTCCAATCCAGAGCTGCCAACAGATGAGATTACATGGTACTACTTCCTATCGGAAATAACAAACTAGAACTTTCTCTTTTCTTTCATCTAGTTTTTACCTAAAAGGACCATCCATACACTATTCTACAGACTACAAGTCTAAACAAGCCACATCCTGAGAAACAACTGTGAACACGAATACGGGCAATCATGCAGCATGTTCAAATTCCTCATGAAGCCTCTGATCAAAGTGCCAAACACCTGCGAGTCACAAAGCAGTAATTTCCTCAGAAACCAACAGGAATTAGGTGCTTTTTGTCGCTTGTTAGGACAGCAATAGGGAAATTCTAGTATAGGCTTAATTTACATCAGCTCATCAATCAGTGTTTGCTACGCATGATTCAAGAAGCTATACCATGTTAAAATTGGAATTTTCTTTAGTCAAGTCTCATCCATTTCGGAAGGGAGTTTACAACTAATGTGATAGGCTGAGTTTCCACAAACAAAATGCGAGCTGGATGGACTATATACATACCATGACCCTTTCCAACCATTCTCAGCTGCGCCACATACTCTGCTATCTTCTTAATTGCTTCAACCTGTAACACAAGGGTTTAGATTTAGATAGGTCTATATTACTTTGTTCATGTTTAAAACATATATCTTTTCAGCTTTCACTGCCTATTTCTTTTTCACTGCTTTTCCTAGACCTTTTTCTTAACATAATTGTCATCTTTACAGCTAGCTTTATTGAGTAAATTTCTCTTTTCCTAGTGCTGCTTTCAGACTTTAGGAAACGAGTATAATATAACAATACTAACTTCCGAAAAAAATCATACTTCAAAAATTAGCATGTGACATTTAAAAGCCCAAGGTTTCTTCTAGCCTGGGATTCAAGTCTGCACTCTTTGCAATTGTATCTAAGTAAATTCAACCTTACCAAGGGCTCAAGTGGACATGAAGTAGAAGGGTTTATACCTGCTCAGATAAAAACTCGCTCTCAATGAAGTCAGCCATTTGAGGATCATTGTTGCGATCGGCCACCTGTTATTATTCATCAAGAGCAAAGGAAGAAGATTATGTTAAGGCACTGGTTAGGCCATAGAGAGAACTATCGTATTCATTAACCTCATACTTCTTAGTTAGGTGATGTTTGGTAGAAGAAAATATCTTCTAGACATTTGAAAATTCACAACTCAGTTAAATTGTTCTGGAGTTCAAAACTCCATGCACTGTAGTTGGTGGATGCCATCTAACAAAGGATTAGCAACAAGGGGCATGGGGATTTGAATTTCTCAAATACTTGAAAAATCCGTTCGTATGACGTTCAGTTTTACTATGAAAAATATAAATTGATGTATTGTATGTGTCTTAGATAACAGAGAAACTACTTTTTTCTTAACATAATTATTCTAAACAATTATATATGAGAAAATTAGCCCGTTCGAGCAACAAGAAAATAAAGATTCTTTCCACAACAAAAAAAAATCAATTTAAGAAGTTAAGAAGGCATTACACTGTGCACATGCAGAAGTTTCTCGTTTGTCAACTTCTCCAAAGAAAGAGCTAACTCCATAGCTGGATCAAGCAAAAAGAAAACCAGAAGGGAAGGTCAAAAATAGATCATTGTTCCACCAAGTGGACACAAACAATCAGGAAACCACAGACTTACCATATAATGCATCTCCTTTTTCCGGGTGCTCATATTCAGAGGGGGGAGACATGATGGGGTGAAGTACCACTCGTCCACCACGAATATTCTAAACAATAAACATACAAGATTCATATGAGTAAATACATCCACGAATATTCTAAACATACAAGTGAACATTAATAGATTTCTTGTAGATGACAAAGCAAACAGGGGAGAAGTTTTTGAGGACCTGATATTTCATTAGCTTTTCAGCATGTTCTCTTTCTTCTTCACTTGCTTCCTTGAAGAACCTGTTCGCAGCAAAATAAACATGAGCAGGCTAATTCAGAAATGAAGGAATTAACACGAGCGAGGTTTATGGGATTTCCGTTCATTACCTTGCAAAGCCTTTGAGAGCTATGTTGTCCCTGTCAAAGTACGCAAACAAGGAGTGGTACACATAGGAAACGTTGTATTCCACGCTGTAATTTGAATGGGGAAAAAATAAAAGACAAAATCCGTCAGGAAGAGCAAAATAAATACGAAGAATTCACAAAAGAAAACATAATATGGAGATCTAATATGGTTCATGCAATATTAAGTATCAAATCCACTAATGAGAGCGAAGGCTATTAAGAATATATCAAAACGCCAGTTCTTCGAAGCGAAATCTAGAAATACTGTTCAAAGGAATGTGAAATACAACTGAAACGACCAATAAAACCGAGTAAAAATGAGAGTTAGAGAAATACGCACTTAATCTGCTCGTTAATAGCAGATTCACACTCATCAGCATAGTTTTGACGAGCCATGGAAACTTGAGGCGACATGGGAACAGCGAGAGCGTCTTTCTTTACCTCCTGAAAGGGCTCAAATATGACGCCGGTGAGTGCGGGGGAATTCTCAGACACAGCCGCACAAACCCTGAATTTTCTGGCTCCTGATCCCTTAGGAACAAGAGACAGAGAAGGAGAAGGCGCAGAGCGAGCGAAGCCCAGAGAAGAAGCAGAAATGGGGTTTTTCAGAGTATCCCCAGAAACGGGGGAAAGAAAAAGGGAGGAGAATTTGGAAGATGTGAGAGCCATTTCGATGGACCTCAAGAACGAGAACTAGGAAGAGGATGAGAATTGGAATACCACAAAGGAAGAGAAGCCAGAGGAATCAAAGGCGGCTCAGAGAAGACGGGTGACGAAGAAGGAGGGACTGAGGTGGTATATGTAGGAGGGGCGAGGGGCATTTCCGTAGTTCCAGCTGGACAGTTCTGCTTTGAGGACCGTCCGATGAAGAACCACGTGGAGGGTGGAGATTTCGTAGTGGGTACGGGCGTGTGGCGAGCTCGTGGCCTAATCCTGTGTGAAAGTGGAATATTCGGTCTACAAAGCAATCGTTTCCTCTTTCATATTTCAAGAAAGTTCATTTTCACTCTCAGGCACTTGCGCGAGTACGTTAAGCCGAGATACTCGCTCTGAGATTGAACAACACTGGAAAAATGAAAGGAAACAGACAAGCATCGTTTCCCTCCACGGGGCTTTATTGCATTTTGTTATGGGTTCTTTTATATATATATATATATATATTTAATATTTCAGTTTTTTCTAATTTTATTCCTCTAGGACTTTAATCTCTCTATTTTTAAATATTTCCAAAGCGTTAATGATGTGGTACTAATAATAGTATCAAATTATTTAATATGTAATTAACAATGTTAATGGAGATGTTAACATGTTTAAAACACAATGAGTTGAAAATTTGAATTGACACTAAAAAAAAAAGAGATGATTGCTTTCCAATAAAAATTATTCAGGACTTTTGACAACAGCACTTGTTAGCATTAAAAAGTGATTTTCAGTCATTATAGATCAACCTTTTTACCTTATGCATCAAATATTTTAATTTAATATTATTTGTGCCATATCATCTTCTCTCTAAGCATATTTTAAAATAGAGGGACTAACTTTACAAGTGGAAAAAAAGCTATTTCCTACGTTTAAAAATATAAGGTATTTTTAACCAAATTTCACTCTTAATAAAGGAGTTATCTACTTTCTAACTAATTATATCTTTTTATATTTACCCTTATTAAACACCCTATAATAAATATAAAGTCATTACTGATAGGGGTACTTTTGAAAAAAGATATTGATTACACCTCGAAAAACTAAAAATGTTTTACATTTTTTAATATTCAACTCTTCAAAAAATGCTTTATATTTTTGAACGGAGGGAGTATCAAGATTTGAAACATTGAAAAAAATATAAAGACCAATAATAAAAAATGATAAAATTATAGAAAGGAAAAATTATGCTTTCCTAAAAATTAAAAAAGAACCTAAGAGAAAAATAAGGTACATGTGGAGTTCCCTCATTTTATATTAAGTTTTAGTTTTGTTTCTTAATTTTAAAAAATATCTCTCAATCTTTTAATCTTAACATTATTTTAAAATGATAATTTTTTGTATTAATTATTTTCATCTTAAAAATTAAGTTTAATTTAATATATTAATATTTGAGAATATTTTGTCAATATCAATGTCAAATTTTTTTGTTAATGATACAAATAAATAATGGTGTTATAATTTAAAGATTGAAAAAACAGAGGAGGGAGCAACTTCTCACTCACACCTCTTCCTTTTTGCAATATAAAAAATAATATTTGATGTCACATATTCTAATAATAAAATTAATATTATGAGGTTGTTTTTATACACATAATTTATGAATATTATGAGAATATATATTTATATAAATAAAATAACTAAAAATAAATTATATTTTTAATTTTATCAAAAATTGTCAATAAAATCTAAAATCACAATTCATTGAAGTGAAACAAAAATTATTCTAAGTGTTCTCTCCTATCCTACTTATAAGGTGGAGAGAAAAGAAATTTTTTAATCCTATCTAGTATTTTAAATTTTTTTTACTCTCCATTAAGACTTGATTTAAATGGAAGGAAAAGTAGGAAGAAAATAAGAGAGGAAAAAATTAAGAAAAGAACTTTTCCAAAAAAAAAAATAAATTTTCCCTCTAGTTTTCTCCCCATCCAAGTAAAAAATAAACGTGGTAAAATAAAATATATTATTTAAGTATATATGTTTAATAACAGCAAAGTATATGTGTATATATATGTTATTAAATTTGTTTTGCCTGTTGTTTCTTTGTTTTGATTGCTTTCTTTGTAGGATATTAATATTGATAAAATGCTTTTTAAATATGTCTTATAATATAAACAAGACTACAAATTTGGTATATAATAACAATAATAAAAGTCATATCATGCTAAATGAAGCTTGAGATTTCAATGAATGACATATCATTGTGCTTTGTCTAAAACCAATTTTTTTAAAATAAGTTGTTAACCATAAAAAATTTTTTTGATCTTATTTATAAGTTAAGCCATTAAATTTTTATTATAATTTTCTCTATTATCTTCTATTAAATATCGATGAGAGAAAGTATGTCATTAAATTATGTATATTTAGTAGAGACAAAATTAAAAACATTTAATTTGTTTAAATAGAGCTAATAAATTTTAAGATTTTCTTTAATTCTAGTAATTAAAATAGGTTAAAATTAAAGTGACTGGATAATTAAATATGATAAGGGAAAATTATTGTTGAGGATTTGGAGAAAATAATATTTATTAGAAAGGATTTTAAAAATAGTAATTATTTAAAAGGACCAAATACCAAAATATAAATTTTAAAATACAAAATTATCCCTTATCAAATCTCCTATTTATTCTCTAACCATATCTCAAATTGAATTTGACAATTACATTAATGTAATAAATAAATAAATAATACTAAAAATCAAAGCAAGTGAAAAATTTATTGTGCCTCGAGGATTCACAAGTTTAAATATACAAGAAGAGTTATAAAATGTAATAATTTTTAAAAAATAATTATTTTTATATTATATTGACTTGATTTTTAAAAGTAATGACTTTAAAATTATATTCAAATAATTAATTAAAAATAAATTTTTATTTTTAAAATATATTAATTTAATTAAATTGAATACTCTATTTTTGTTTTTATTTGTGTAGAATTGAAATCTACACAGCTTTATTTTAAAATTTTTTTGTACTTATTCAATACTCAACGTTAATGTTAAGATATTGGTAACAAGTTTTATATTAAAATCATAATAATCAATTATATTTATCTTGGTCTTCCAATCTAATTTTAATTTTTATAGTTTTTATAATAAATTTTAGTAATATTTTATTTTCCTTCCAAATTTTTTTCATTTGGTAATCCTTCGGAAAATGTGGAGTGAGAGTGGGGAGATATTTGTGTGGGGAAGGTAGGGGAGGTGATGAGAACCGCAAGAAGCCAATCTGTGAGTGTAGGGGGAGAGAAGGCGCGTGGAGGTGGGGCCCAGGAAGAAAAGCCAAATACGGATGACAGCCTAGCTTTGGAGCCACGGGGTGGGGCCCCTCGCTTTTGTCTCTATCCTTTCTGGCTTGTGCCCGCCTCACGCTATCATCTTTTTTCAGTATCAATCAATATCTAATTTAAGATTCTTCTTTCCCTTTTTTTTTAAAAAAAAATTAAAGTCACGGGAGATTTTAATTTAATTTAAGTTAATAATATTTGTTAATTAATTTAAATAGATCATTTCCCCTATCTTTCATAATATTTGTGCTCAATTTCTATTGAAAAAAAAATGAAATTACTAAGTGGGTGCCATGAGGATGGAAACGATGTGAATCCTTTAAATATTATTTTGAAGTTTGATTCTTCAAAAAGTGTATGGACTATGAAAATTGAAATGTATCATTTGAGAGATGATAATCCTTTGAATATTATTTTGATTTCTCAACAAATTTGTCTCATCTTCTAGCTATAAGGATGCCCTAGAAAAAAATATTAATGAAAAATCATAATGAATAAATATTTTTTTGCAAATTAAATTATTCATATTTCATATAAAAATATGATATAACCAAATAATTTTGCAAACATAATATTATCAACAATGCTATTTACTGATATATAATATATTTTTTGTAAAAAGTTACGTTATATATAAATGGATTGAAGGTCATTTTTACTTCTCAATTTTACTTGAAAAGTTACTAGACACCATAAATTTAATTATAAATTAATTTTATTCTTCAACATGAAATATTTCTTTCTTCATTCCCTTGACATTAAAAATACTTCATGTATATTAGTTATTTGTGGATTTCACTATTTTTTAACATTTTTTATTGAGTTAAGATTCATTTTTATCCCTAAATTTTTATTTAAAAAATTAGTGAATACCCTCAACTCAAATATTTTATAATAAAAAAATTAAAGTTGTAATATAGGGCCTACTAATTGTGAGAAAATGATAGAGTGATAAAAAAATATTTAAAGTTGAGAAACATAATTAATTCATAATTGAGTTTAAGATACTCAATGACATTTAGGGTAAAATTGAGGTAAAGATATCCTTAATCTTTCATAAATTATAAGTAGGGTGACTCTTGCATTTTTTTTAATAGAGGTATCCTTAGCAAAAAGAAAAATAAATAAAGTATTAGCAGGGTGGCTGAATCCATACTAGATACAGTGCAAAATGCAGAACAGCCTAAATTGATGCACACTTTCCAAAAAAAAAGTACTAATAACTATTATTTTACTTTTAAATATTTAAATAATTCAAAAAATAAAATGAAGTTGGAATATTTGTATGATTATAAAGAGAAAAAGCGCATGTGATGAAGCTAAATTCTTAAAAATTGGCCCAAGAAAATGGTAATAAAAAAATGCCTGGACTAGCCGTACAATTACAATGTCCCTGTTTTCTAATTAAATTATTGTAATATATTGACATATATTCCCACTATCTTTCTTTCTTTCTTTCTTTCTTTTTTGCCAAAAGTATATTCCATTATCTCATCACCTGTATTTTTTCAAAAATAATATTTTATTTCTTAAACGAGTAGCATGATATGAGTTTAAAAACTCACAATCCTAGCACAGACACAGATTAATTTTGAGAATTGTCGCGCAACTTACAGTTCACGTCTTCACGAGAAGAGTCAAATGACTAGAGTTTCTTTTGGCCTGCAAATGACTATAGTTTCTGGAACATTCAAGGAAGGATCACGCTCCACAAAGTTTTCAATTTCTCTTGGTCAAAAAAAAGAAAAAAAAGTCCCGTCTACTTATTAAAAAAATAAAGTATAAAAATAA